CCAGCCGCGAAACCGACGTGTTCTCGCCTGAGTCGCAGCTCTCGGCGGCGATAAAACCGCCGTGAAGCTCCTCCAGCTTGGCGCGAATGAGCTGCCATTTTCCGGCGAAGACGCGAATCGAGAGGGACAGAGATAGCACCGCGCGTATGAGCTCCACCGCTCGCCGGAGACCCGAAGCTCCGGCGAACTCTTCTTCACCACCCATTGCTTTCGTTCTCAGTGGCTTCTCCGAAACCCCATTTCCCGGGGGAATATTCCGGCGAGAGTTCAGAATCTTAAGTAAAAAAAAAAGGATCTTATGATATCTAAACAGAGAGAGAGAGAGAGAGAGAGAGAGAGGGGGGGGGGGCTGTTTCAGTGTGTTCACTGTTTCTGAAGATCTATGCTTATCCTTAGATTGCAGTTGCTACAGAACTGGTCCAAAATGGACTTTAGCATGTGAAATCACGGGAATGCCCCTTTGGAGAATGCAGTTTCGTGGTTCAATTGTGTCATTGCAATTGGGAAGTTAGAAGAGTGTTGAAGGGAGACAAGAGAGGCCCATGGGGTTTGTGGCTAATTTAGAAGGAATCATAGAGGTGGTACTTCGTGTTTCTTAACTATGTTTTGTTCGTATATACAATGAAAAAATTATAATACTTCAACATAGGACAGACAAAAGGTGAGGTAGAAGCAAGGCATGAGTTACACCACTTCATATTTTAATTAGTTGACGGTTACTTTTGTATTACCAGAAGCCATAGGTTGCAGTTACATTTTTTCCTTAGTTTAATCATTCTTTTTTACTTTGTTTAATTAAAAGTTTCACATAATTAAAGTCGTCTATAGTAATTCATTAGTTTGAATAGTTCAGTAATTCGATGTATAAAATTGTGCCTTGTAAGTGTTATTCTATTTTTATAAATGTTAATTTAATATAAAAAAAGTTATACTTTTTATAAATGATATATATATATATATATAAGGAAGTGAGAATTAATTTTATTGAAAATTAATAACATATTTTAACAACAAAATAGAAAAGTAAATATAGAGATTAAAAGGGCTAATATTACTTTTCCTATTGTTATAAATTAGAGAGGTCATGAAATTGGGTTTGAAGTCCTAAATTATTGGACTAATGAAACAAAGTCTTGAATAATAAGTAGGAAATTACAATTAGCAATAATGAACGAAAGTCTTGATAGTTAATAGTATATTCAGGCTCATAATCTCTGTTAACCATCATAATAAAGTAGGCCTTATCTTTTTTCAGTTTGGGGACCCGGTATAATAAACATGATGCATTTTCAACTTTGGGTACACTAAATTAAACACAACGTCACCAATAAAAATTAATCAACCAACTTTTCAGTTTAGAATTAATAGGATTTTGGAGGCGGGCCATGGTTGCAATCAGATGTGAGAATATATAGTCAATTTTTAACAATTTTAAAAATGATTTGAAAATCACATAATAACTTTATAAAAAATAAAAATAAAAATCAAGGCATTGTATTTTAATTCACATACCATTCATACCTAAATTTTGCCCTTCCTACCTTATATATTCCTCCTATTTATTATCTGAGACCAGATCAATGATACATGAATTTTAAAACATATTTTTTAGAGATTTTTTTAATAAAAAAAGCAAAAGATACATGTTAAATCTTACTTCAATATAAAAGACCTCTTCTAGATTTTGGAATGTATTAAAATTTAATTACGTTCCACGAGATAATTACTATAAATATGTATAATTATCAATGATAAATTATTGGATATTTATCTTGACTAATTTAGTTATAAACTAACATAATAATCTACATATGATCAATCGAAATAGTTTAATTAGTTTTAAATCCGAAAGATATATAACTCTCAACTTTGAACACGTAAATACAAAGAGATTGTTTTAACTGCTCAATCTGACTTCTCTTGATTGGTTTTAAACTCAAAAGATACATATCGTCTTATTAACACGAAACTTTTTTTAAAAAATGTATGTAGTCTTTTAAATTTATAAAAATTAACAGTAAATATTTTTTTTGATGAGCTTAAAGTTTCCTAGTGTTGCATCTGCCTGTCACGAGAAATAATTTATTCGTAATTTGTGTTCATGATTTTATATTAATGAAATTAAGACACGTATTTTTATATTTAAAAATTATTAATATTTGATAGATTGATTAATATTATATTTGATCTTTAAATGTTTTGAATTTTAATCTTATCTTTATAAAAATAATTAATTTTTAATATTATTTTTATTATTTAAAATTTTAAAAATAAAATTGTCTAGAAAAATATATATCAACTAAAAATTTATGGATAATGTTTTAACCGCTTGAGTTTAAGTATATAAGGAAAGAGTTTCCTATATTTCTATCTCACATTACAGTTCATATCATAATTCAACACCATCTTTGAACTTTCTTCTACTGCATTTTTTCCACAAAATTGATGAGTGAATATAAAGGATAATATTTACATTTCCTGTCGTTTCGTTACATTGCTAGCAACTGGCCAACTGCAAATCAAATGGAGGCCCCCAGAAAAACAAGCAACGAGACAGCTATAAGAGTCTTGTTTAAGCTCTAGTTGACAGCAAAAGCATAGTGAGAGCTGTGAATTAGTACTGAGAGAGTAGATGAAAGTGCAGATGGACCACGCCTTAATGAGGACAGAGCTTTAATTACGTGAAGAAAATAAAAAGGGGTAGCTTTCAATGCCCTTGGAATGGAAATGAAATGACACACCCCACCATGTGAAACCCTTTGTTGGATGCCTTGAGCAAGCAGTGACCTTTTCAATAGGAAAGTGGGGAGTGAATCACATAACTAATTGAGAGAAAGTTGCCTTCTTTTACAACACTTTTTCTCGCTTCTAAACGTATAGTAAAGAAGAGTCCAACAAAAGCCAATAAGAGTAGCCACACTACCATACATGCAACTCCACATTGCAGCCAAATCTCAGCCACATGACATGATCACCTCCCAATCAAATGGTGCACATATCTCAAGAAGTGTACACTTGATATTAAACGTTGATGACTAATTTTTATATAAAAAAAATAAAAAATTAACTGATATTTTTAATAGAATATTTCTTTTTAGTCATATTTCTTTTCATCCAAAGACATTTGAACTTAAAATCTTACTTATTAAATGGAGTTTAATTTGTTTTTTTTCCAACAATCTTACTTATTAATGAGTCTAGTTTCAATATTTGCACCAAACGATAGCAAAAAGCGTGCACGGTTTCGAGACACAAAAGGAAGGCTCACGAGAAATCATGAATAGAAGGTCCAAATGGTAATAGCCAAAGCCCAAGCTCAAAGCAAAAGAGTAAAGCTGCCCCTGTCATGACAATCTCGACTAAAAGCATTAAAATATTATTGACCATCCCTACCAAGAAGATGAACTTTCGCAGAATTTATGGGGGGGCGTTCGGGAAAACAAGAGGGTAACGAGGATCATGGTGAGTTTTTTAAATATTAATACAAGACAAATTAGATACTAGTACTGAGGCAAAACAAAACTGAATGACCCATCATGTCACTTGGTGTCTAATTTTTTACAAACACTGTTAGATTAAAGGTCAAAATTACCATTATTTTGCTGGTCACGGATTCTTATCTTATGTAACGTGACCTCAAATAGTATGATTTAGACCAAACCTTAGGGTTAGTAGTTCTTAACTAATCCAAAATAGCTTTACAAAGCTAAGTAATTATATTTGTTATCACAGTGACAGGACCAACCTACTGATTGAGCCCAAAAAAAAAGAAAAAAAGAAACACCAATACATTGCAAACTACGAGTTAATTATATATTGCTCCCTATAAATTGATATCTTGTAATATGCAATATGCTCATGCCTCAATTCCGGGGTCAGCATCCCTCATCTTGCATACCATTAATGGAAGCATGTGGGATCTTTTGATCTAATTTTGTTTTGTTTTGTTGATACGTGCACTCATAATTAAGTTACTTTTTATCAAACTATATTGATCTAGATTGTAATTCAATTTTAGCTCCCCACTTGTAAATTTAAGTTGTAATCATGATCACTTTCATAAGTTTGGTTTCAAATTTACTGTGGAGTGAAAAGGGGTTACTGCCAACCATCTCAATTTGAGTCAAAAAGCACTGCAATTTTTTTTTCTTTGGTATTTATAGTTATGTTAGGTGCAGAATGTCATTCATATGCGAAAGATATACCGTGGTGCCTTTGAGTGGGGAAGAAGCGAAATTCAATACAGTAGAAAAGTCTGAAAATGTCTTTGCTTTCAAGAGAAAAGTCGATAAAAAGAATAATTTCTTCATGTTCATCGACTCAACTTAGGGGCAAGATGGCTCCTAACCAATATAACAAATTGGGAAACAACAGTACTACAGAAGATTGCTTGATAAGGCTACTAAAAGTTCTTTATAATACCAACAATATGTCAATAATCATTTAACGTATCATGGAACATGGATTATACAAAAACACGTTGATTATTATCATCATGTATTTGTTTTAGTGTTCAAGCAATCAAATTTGGTTTGATGAAAACGCCAAGGAATTGTAATAAAATTAAAATGTCTTTTCTTTAACCCGTTGCACTAAGTTTTATAATTTGAGCACGATTCCTTTATTCTTTTGTACCAATACAGTTGCCGAAACTATGGTAGCCTAATTTCTTAGGCATTACACTTTTGAAATTCTTCACTTTCGATTTAGGAAATACTTACAAATCTACATAATATTGTGTTGGCATATTCGACATGTTTTTGACACGATACTTATCATGACACATATTCAACACATTTACATTATGTCATAATTAAAAATTATTATTCTTTGGTTCAAATATCTTTATAACACAACTTTAATATCTTTCTAATACGATTTAAACATAAATGAAGAATGAATTACTCTTAGTTAAACACTTATCTATTATTTTTATGATAAAAAAATTAAAAAGTTAACTTATTTATAAATAATACAAAACTTATAACATTATTTTTATTTATGACGAGACTTATTTTTATAAGAATTACTTTATGATTTAACTTTTTATAGTTCATTTTCTAAGAATCATCATCATATAAAAATTGTAATGTTTATATATATATGTGTGTGTCATGTCTCTGTGTCTTACATTTTAGATATTAGTCGTGTCCCGATATCTATATTTATATCGTGACAAATGTTTGTATCAGAGTCGATGCTTTTTAACTTTCAACAATTGAATATGTTAAGAATAGGAGAAGGATTACGATACATTGAAGCATACAACTTTGTTGATACCAACAAAATTTAAATACTATATACTATAAAACTCAGAACAGAAAATTGTTAAAAAAGATCTCTCTGAAAAAGACTTAAACAAAGACAATAACAACCTCATCATTTCCTGCTTTATGATGGTTTACAGAAAACCTACAAATCTACAATTGTAACTAACAAGCTTTAATAGTAGATACTGATACATACTCCTACCAAAATTAACATGCTTTTTAACATTTCAACTGAAAGCCAAGCAAAATATTTCAATATGTACTTTAATCTCCAGATTAGTTAATCAGCATACTTTTTCATATTTGACTTGCACGATGTTTGTGTCAACTCTTAATTACATTATACAAAGCATTAGAGACAAAAATTGACTCAACTAGTTCAAGA